TGTGTGTGTGTGTGTGTGTGTGTGTGTGTGTGTGCCCTCTGCTAGCCAAAAGAGTTGAAATATGCATTAAGTTAGCTTGAAGGACTTGAACCGGCAATCGATACGTTTGTCTAGCCAAGTGAATGTAGCAGGAAAATAGATATTTAGTTGGTATATGAAATAAGCTATGTTGTCATTATTATTATTAACTATTGAACAAAGTTAGAGAGAAATTTATAGTTATGTTTGAATTGAAAGAGTAGCAAATGAAGAAGAAACTACTTTAATATTATTTAAACTATGAATAGAGAAATATGCCGATAAACCTATGGTAAAGATAAACCTTATTGCCTATAAATTGAGGGATTTATAGAGATCTTAAAAGTTAAGTTCATTGAATTATAGATAGAGAAATTTGATGAAATATGAAAGGAAAGATCTCAAAAACTAAAGATAGATCTTATTAACTATAGATAGTAGGATATATAGAGAGATCTGAAAAGATGTTCATTGGCATAGTAGCGAAAAAATTATAATATTATTATCAAAATATGCAGAGCTTATAAAAATCTGATAAAATCAAAATAGTCTCAGCTAATGCTTTGACTGTTATCACAGCTAGAAGAAGAAGCAATTATGAATTAATAAGTATCTACAGATAGATCTTATAAAAATCTGACAACATCGAAATGGAGAGCTATGAAGAGATCTTAAAAGTTAGATCTCGACTATACCGAGAGATATGTACGAGAGATATGTTAGCTATGTTCATTGAAATTGCAGCAGGTGTAGTATAAAGACTGTTAATGCACGTGTTGCCAGTCTTCACAGCTAGATGGCGTTAGCAAATGAATCGAATTACGATTCGTTTCAATCGTTGGCTCTGCCAGACGCTTGACTGACTCGATTTTGTGGCTTGGGCTTAAAGGATTTTGTCAGTTTAGTTATTAAAAACTCACTTGTGCAAACATCAGAGAGACAGAGAGAGAGAGAGAGAGAGAGAGAGAGAGGGAGAGAGGGAGTGGGAGCATGTTTGAGGCAGCAGCTTGAACTGGACACTGCTCGCTGGCCATTCGAGCACTGAGGCCATTCAGTTCTATGTGTGTTTGGTCGGCTGGCTGGGTTGCTCTCTGCTTATTGGGGCCTTTGCTTCGATTTAACGCTGACACATATCGCTGGAGAGAACTCTGCTTCTTGTTCTAGTTGTGTTTTTTTTTTTTTTTTTTTCTTTCAGTGCATTTGCTTTGGCTATATTTGCCTTGCATTGCTGCTGCCACTGCTGCTGCTGTTGACTAAAGAGAGCTTTTGGCTGTGCATGTGTGTGTGTGTGTGTGTGTGTGTCAGTATCTCTGTGTCTTTGTGTGTGTTTGCCTTAGAATTCCCCAAATTGTAATTTTATAGCTGCGTCATTGCCCAAATGCTCAAATAGACTTTAGCCCAGCGCCGCTTGCAGGCCAACTTTTTATGCCGGCCAACACTTGAAGGAACTTTGCTGCTTCTTCTTCGAATGCATCTTCTTTCTCTTTTTATTGCTTTTGGCATTTACTTTTGCTTCACGTTTTCTTTCTTGCTTCTTGCTTCTTCTTTTCTTTTCTTTTCTTTCTTTTTTGCTGGCACTGGCTCACTTACGGGCTATTCTGTTGCTTTGGCTCTTTTTATTTCGCTTCGACTCCCCTCTAGCATTTCAGCTTTAGCTTTGGCTTTGGCTTTGCCTGTCTGTCCCAATTCGATTTCATCTGCTGCCAAAGTGCTGCCAACTGAATGCAATTGCATCGCCATTGGCCACATCTTCCCTCTGTCTGCCTATCTATCYATCTAACTATCCAGCCATCTGACTATCATTCTATCTGGCTCCATCGCACTTGCGTGTAATTTGGCATTACAGCGCCATATAAACACCCTGTATGGAGCACCGTGAGGTATATGTACACTGTTGTGAAATTTGGCAGTACATATGCATTTCGGGCTTTTAGAATATCCTGCGTTCTCCTTGGACCAGCTCTCCTTGCTGGGCAGGAGTCAGAGGGCAGGGCATTAGAAAGTCGTTGAGCATAGTTTATTGACTAGTTGTTAAAGTGTTGTTGGCCTGCGGGCATGCCAGCTGCATGCAGCTGTCGAGTAGCCCTGGCTAGCGGTTTTTTTTTTTTTTTTTTGGCTATCTAAAAGAGCAGCACTAGCCGCAGAGTCGAACGCATCCTGTTGCATGCCGTGGGCCAGCGACAATATGCGATTAGATTGCAGTTCACGGTAGGCTGATGAGTTTCTATATAAATATATATTGTATGTATAGAGAGAGAAGGAGATCGAGCGAGAGCGACAGAGAGAGAGATGGAGCAGAGGCTCTCCAACAAAGTTGGCCAAAGCGCATATTTTATTCAATGCTTCATTTAGCCCGGCGAACTGTCGAACTGGCCAAAGGCCATATCCAATTTTAGTTTAGAAATTGCAACTGCAATTGCAATTCCAGCAGCAGCAGCAACAGCAGCAGCGGCAGCAGCAACAGCAACAGGAACTCTCAACACTTTTGGCCGCACATAAATCAACTTTAAATTAAATGCTCGACGGCAAATCGGTATCAAAAATGTCGCTGCAACAATAATGGCAAAGTCGTTTATTTAGCTGCCCGTTCCGATAGCATTTGGCTAAATTGTGTGCCAAATCTCGTTGCGCTCGTTGGGCGAGAGTATGCCCAGCATCCTGCTGCTATCATTGTTGCCATTATTGCTGCTGCTGCTGCTCCTGCTGCTGCTGCTGCTCCTGCCGCTGCTGCTGCTGCTGCCGAGGGTCCCTCGATAGGCAACGGAAACTCAAACACACACACACACACACATACACACTCGCAACGAGAACTATAAGTAATATCCTCTATTTTTTTGCATTGGGCGTGGCCAGCACAAGATTTAATCGCACTCAGCTGAGAGCGAGACAGAGAAAGACAGAGAGAGAAAGAGATAGAGTAGATGCTGTATAAGAAAGGAGATATGGTTTTTAACAACATGTTCATTATGCAACAATACGAAATGCGAAATACGAATTGCTGCTGCTGCTCCTGCGACTCCTGCTGCTGCTGCCACAATGCGTGCCCCTACCAGAACCCTCTGCTCAAGTACAGCCAGCAATCACCACACACACACACACATATATATGCACGCACACTCAGTTGAACCTTTACTTATGCATTATGCTCGAACTTTATTCACAGGCTCACCACAGCCCACATATCGTTGGCTCAAGGATGGCATACCCGTTGCCGATTATTCATCCAGTCAATTTTATCGCATTCACAACACGAAGCGCGAGGATGCTGGCAGCTATCAGTGCATAGCCAGAAACGAGGCTGGCTCCATTTTCAGCGAGAAGAGTGAAGTTGTTGTATCCTGTAAGTACACACACATGTATATATCTACCTTCATATATGTATGTATATATATATATTTGTATCGGGTGCTGGCTGTCCCTTTGTGACAAATTCAGCTTCAAGTGTTTCATCGAACCGGCTGCTAAAGCCATTGTAATTAGCCTGCTGCTTATGACGTGTGAACACATTTCTAACTACCTGTCTGCATGTCAATTTGACATGTTTTGTATTGAACTCACACGCACACACACACACGCACACACACACACATAAGCATTAAGCACTTGTTCCAACAAGGCTCAGTCTCAGCTGAAGTGGCTCCAATGTGGTTTTAGCACACAAAGCATAAATAAAATATATGTATAAAGCATATGAAAAATATTTATAAATATGCAAAACTAGCTGAAATGATTGACTGACTGATTGATTGACTGTCTGAGGAGCTATGGTCTACCAAACATTTGAAATGCATTATTGAAAAATATTTCAACGAGCTCAAAAACAGATGCAGAGTCAACGATTTTAATGATATATGTATAAATATATACAGATATATATAGTGTATATACATATATCTATATATATATATAAAGCCAACCAAAATTGTGTAACTAATCATTTCTTGTTAGTGTAACAGCTGCATTTGATTTACAGTCTTAGGCAAGTGGAGCTCAGCTGCTCATTATTTATAATTAGACGTTATGAACAGCAATTATTTAACAATATTTGACATGTGAATTAGGTTGAGCTTAGACAACAGAACAGAAATCAATAATATTGTAAACATGCTCATTTCTGAGCGTAAAATTAACAAAATTAATATCATGAATATTCGAATTATGAATTATTAATTATGAATATNACATAAGCATTAAGCACTTGTTCCAACAAGGCTCAGTCTCAGCTGAAGTGGCTCCAATGTGGTTTTAGCACACAAAGCATAAATAAAATATATGTATAAAGCATATGAAAAATATTTATAAATATGCAAAACTAGCTGAAATGATTGACTGACTGATTGATTGACTGTCTGAGGAGCTATGGTCTACCAAACATTTGAAATGCATTATTGAAAAATATTTCAACGAGCTCAAAAACAGATGCAGAGTCAACGATTTTAATGATATATGTATAAATATATACAGATATATATAGTGTATATACATATATCTATATATATATATAAAGCCAACCAAAATTGTGTAACTAATCATTTCTTGTTAGTGTAACAGCTGCATTTGATTTACAGTCTTAGGCAAGTGGAGCTCAGCTGCTCATTATTTATAATTAGACGTTATGAACAGCAATTATTTAACAATATTTGACATGTGAATTAGGTTGAGCTTAGACAACAGAACAGAAATCAATAATATTGTAAACATGCTCATTTCTGAGCGTAAAATTAACAAAATTAATATCATGAATATTCGAATTATGAATTATTAATTATGAATATAAGCTGAAATTGAATAGAATTTAACACGAGAGACTCTCTAGTCGTTAATGCTAGACAATCTGTGTGTTGAGCAGGTGCTCAATATCAATTTTAAATGCTTCTTGGTAAAGTGAGCTATTTTACAAAATATTAGCACTTATCGAAACTGTAGAGGTGGTAGAAGTGGTATTTATCGAAACGGTAGAGGTGTTCGATAGTCGGGCATACTTTAAGTTGAATGTAAATATGAAAATGAGATATGTCCTAGTTGTAGAAATGGGCAAGAAATGCCCAGAAATCGCAAGCTTGATATCGATTCTACGATAAAACAGAAAATAGCTCTGGAGCTGATACAAAATGCAATATTTCAAGGCTCTATGTCTTCATGAGATGAACGACTCTAGAGAGTCGACAGAGACAATCAAAGAGAAATGCAAAATTTTCTTTGTAGTTCAGCAAGAGTTTATATACTTTTGCTTATAGACTTTTAATATAGCAATACACTTTAAATATTACATTTTTAATGGGTATAAATATGATAGGAGCTAAGCGATGTTCCAACTCACCAGCGATCGCTTCATCTAGTTGAAGAGAGAAAAAGTTCGTAATGATTATAAAATGAATTTGAAAGTTTTTCACTTTTTTCCGTTTCAATATAATTGTATGAAATGAAACAACTCAGTAAGAGGCCATTCTTTGGCGCGCCTGAAAGTGTGCTAGGGAATTATTAGTTGGTATATAAAGTGCCGAGCACACATATTATTATAGCTGGGTCAATTAGTTATTATTAGCTATAAGCAGTAACTAGATAATTAATTAACTCACCAATGCTGAAGCACTTGAGAAGGAGCACAAGGAGATTGCGCTCTAATCGCCAGCATAGACAATGGAAACTTTTGTTGTCAGCTGTTGCTTCTCCTGCTGAGTTGTTGTTGCAGCAGCAGCAGCAGCTGACTTCAGCTGGGAGTCACGTGCAACGCTATGTGTCAACTGACAACTTGATAAGTGACAAGGATGCTTGGGGAACAGGGATGACGAAGTGAGACTGATAGAGAGAGGGGTGGGTGTGTGTGTGTGTGCCATGTGTCATGAGAGCAGAGAGTTGGGAAGGCCATCAAGCTGGCAATTAAGGGCTGGTTGCCAATCAAACGCTTGTCACACAGCTCGCCTAGCTATAGGTATAGCTGCTAATTTTTCTTAAATGCGAACTTAATTACAACAACAGCAGCAGTAAGAGCGAGAGCGAGAACAAGAGCAAGAGCAAGAGGAAGCAGTTTTGTGGCAATAGGGTCACAGCAGAGCAAGTAACATACAATTAGAGAGCTGTAAGTGTAACGCATATACCGAGAGAGTGAGCGAGGGAGAGGCAGAGTGAGAGAGGGAGGGAGAGCGCGTGCGAATGTGAAAGACTCTGAGCGACACTTGGGCTATGCGTATGCGAGTGTGTGTGTCTGTGTGTGTGTCAGTGTGTGTGTGTGCACCACACATTACCCAACTGCTTGAACCTAATAAATCGAGCTCTTGACAAGCTGGTGACCTTCTTTTCGGGCACACCAGCCATGAAGCTGACGAGCTGCGTGATAACGTTGATGATGACGATGACGATGACGATGGCGATGACGACTCGTGCTGCATGGGAGCGGCCCAAGACGGCGCTGAACTGAAGCGTCTTGAGCACTTAATTAATTGTAGGAGAGCGCTTAAACTGAACTAATAACCTTTAGAGCTCATAGTTTGGGCCCCGGAGAGGGTTGCCTTTTCAGCACACTGAATTGAAGTGAAGTGGGGCATGCTGGGGCTGGGGCTGGGACTGAGACTGGGTCTGCGTCTGCGGCTGTGGCTGTGCGCTGTGCCACTTGATAAGAGGTTAAACAAAAATTGCCAGCCCGCAGGTCAGAGGCCACTGCTGCCTGATTCAATTAGCTCGCGTGACACAACGAGCTATCTGCGGGGGGAGGGATGGGGTGCTGCTCGCACACATTTTCACCACAGTGTACTTCATTTGTTTTCATTTGTTTGCTTTTCGTTTTCCACACACACACACACAGATATGGGCACCTTCGAGAACCAGAACGAGGGATACTTGACCGTGGTCAGCGGTCATCCGGCCATCTTCGACATGCCAGCCATTGATTCGGTGCCGAAGCCGTCGGTCTCCTGGCAGGCGGAGAATAGAACGCTCAACTATGACATCAAGTACGCCCTGACCCAAGCCAATCAGCTGATCGTGCTCAGCGCCAATGAGCAGGATCGTCACGCGTATCGGGCACACGCCATGAACACCCAACTGGGCAGGGAGGAGGCGAGCGCCCCTATACATCTCAATGTGACAGGCGATCCGTATGTGGAGGTGGCGCCCGAGATAATCGTACCGCCGCAGGATCTGAAACTGAAGCGTGGCGAGGGCGTGGCCGAACTGCAGTGCATTGCCAATGCACGGCCCCTACACGAGCTGGAGACCATTTGGCTGAAGGACGGACTGCCCGTGGAAAATGCCGGCATTCTGCATACGCTCAACAATCCCTGGAACCGCACCTTGGCCCTGCTCCAGGCGAACAGCTCCCATGCCGGCGAGTACACCTGCCAGGTGCGTTTGCGCAGCGGCGGCTATCGGACGGTCACGGCCAGCGCCCACGTCTACATCCTCGAGCCGCCCATGTTCTTTACGCCCATGCGTGCCGAGACCTTTGGCGACTTTGGTGGTCAGGTGGTGTTGCCATGCGACGTGGTTGGCGATCCGACGCCCCAGGTACAATGGTTCCGCAATGCCGAAAGCATTGATGCGCAGCTACAAAGTGGCGGGTAAGTGTGAAAGTCGTTTTATATTGAAATAGCCAAGTAGTGTTGTAAAATTTCGATTTTAGTATTGGCTAGAAGCTTAAATGTGAGCTTAAGGCAGTTTAGTGTAAAAACAGTTGAGTAGTGTTGTAAAATGATTGTTTTTGTATTGGCTAGGAGTTCAAATATTAGATTAATTACATTTAGTGCTTGATAGTCTGGGTCAGACAGCGTTTTCCAACACTAGCACATCAAAATAGCTTAGCGGTGCTGCAAAGTTTGAGCTTAAGACGCAGAACTGTAAGGCAGACAGTGTTTTCCAACACTTTTACATACAAATAGCTAAGCAGTGTTGCTAAATGAACAGTATAGTGTTGAGCAAAAGATCAAATAATGAACTGAAGGATATTTAATGTTTATGAAACCCAATAGACAATATTTTTCAACACTCTTATATCGGAATAGTTGGGCAGTGCTGTAAAGTGTGCAGCCTAGTGCTGTAAAACTCTTGCAACACTTGCAACACTAATAATTTGTTATTGGATTTCCGAATTCATTTACCCATTCACTGCGGTTGTTTTACGGCCGGTGCTGAAAATTACCACAGAATCAATAGAGCACAATTATGAAACATGTTTATTGCAGCAGAACGGCCATCTATACGCATTAAATATGTTAAATCGGTATTCGGAGCAATCGAGGGCTCAGAAATATGCCAGCATAGCGATTTCGATTAATAGGCGTAAAGCTCAATTAGTGTGGTGTGGTCGGTATGCTGCAGCGGGGAGGTGGGCGGGCTGGCTATGTTTGTGAATAATTACAACTCATGAATGTTAAACACATTGCAGGTACTCAGTGAAAGCCGATAATACGCTGATAATTAAAAAACTGACGCTGGAGGATGAGGGCATGTTCCAATGTCTGGCGACCAACGAGGCCGGCGAGAAGTCGGCGTACACCTGGCTGCGTGTGAAAAGTGAGTCAAGTGGTGCTAATCGACTGATTGCATTCCCCATTTAAAGCCCATCCCATATACATATATATATATTTATCATATTTGCATTTCTACTAACCAAATCCGCTTCCTAGAAACAGTTCGAGCTGCGCCCAATGAAAACATTCTACTAAAACGGTGCTGTCTCTGTCTCTCTTTCTTCCCCATTTATTAATGCCATTGTTGTCTCTGTTATGATCGAAAAAAAAAAACAAAAACACTAACATATG